AATTATAATAAATATATCTAGGTCCTCACATGGCAACAGCATGATTCAAATTAGGTGATAGAAGTAATTTTCATCAAGCACAAGAGCAAGTGTTCAAATCTAAGTAGTTACTTAGAAGTCCTTGTAATATTTTTTAAAATAAATTTTTTGCAACTAATTTTTCAAAGACCTTGGGTGTTATGATCGTAAGTGACCTCTTAGAGTTAACGTTAGATATGGCCTTCTAAACCCACCGTTGACAAAGTTTGCAAGTTTTGTCCAAAAGGTTGATCCAGCCGGTTGGACGATTTAAGTGGTTTTATTGATCTTAAGCGGTTTAAATCCTGTTTAGGATACTCATCTGACTTGTTTGGCCGTTTCCATCAGCAAAAACCAACATTTAATCTTTTACCTTACAAAGTTAGTAAGTTTTAGACATTCACCTTACAATATAACATTTTTAACCCTTTACCTTACAAATTTGGTAGGTTTTAATCCCTCACCTTACAAAATTGGTAGGTTTTAATCCCTCACCTTATATCAAGACATTTTTAACCCCTCACATATACGAATTGAAGAAAATAATTCTCACCTAATATTAAATATAACATTCTGTTGGTTCTGTTAGCTGATTGTTAACATCCGTTAGCATTTTGTTATAAAAAAACATGAAATTTAAATTCAATTTTATTTATTAGTTCCATTAACAAAATGCTAACGGATATCAAGACATTTTTAACCCCTCACCTTATATCAAGACATTTTTAACCCCTCACATATACGAATTGAAGAAAATAACTCTCACTTAATATTAAATATAACATTCTATTGGTTCTGTTAGCTGATTGTTAACATCCGTTAGCATTTTGTTATAAAAAAACATGAAATTTAAATTCAATTTTATTTATTAGTTCCATTAACGAAATGCTAACGGATATTAACAATCAGCTAATAAAACTAACAGTCAACCAACAGAACTAACAGTCAGTCAACAGAACTAACAGTCAGTCAACAGAACTGACAATCAATTAACAGAACTAACAAAATATTATAACTTAATGTTAAGTGAGAGCTATTTTCTTCAATTCGTATAAATAAGGGGTTAAAAGTGTCATAACATAAGGTGAGGGCTAAAACCTATTAATTTTGTAAGGTGAGGGGTTAAAACCTATAAGATAAAGGGTTAAAAATGTTATATTATAAGGTTATGGGTTAAAACTTACTAATTTTATAAGGTAAAAACCTAAAAATTGGTTTTAACCGTTTCCATCACTGGGTGTTGGTTAAACAATTTTAAATACTCACCTAACCCGTTTCTATCATTAGGGGTTGGTTACTTGGTTCCGTTGGTTCAACTAACCAGTCCAGTTTGATTTTCAAAACTTTGATTTGATTCAAGGGGAATTTGTCCAAGAAACTGCAAGAAAACAAGATAAAAGACGTATTTGACTGATGTAGAGGTACAATTTTGTTTATGGTTCCTATGAAGAAAATTCGTTTCCAAGATGAGGACACTGATTAAAAAATTATTCAGTTTGTGGGTCTTCCTATTCTGCTTTATTTTATTTTTCTTTTTTGATTTGGACTGTTATAATATGTTAAATTCCTCTCAAAAACTATTTTAAGATAGTACTTCTTAAACCAACATGATGCATCAAATAAAAAAAATTCAATATGATACATTAAAAAAAATAAATTTTTTAAATATAATTTTAAAACTTACATTTTAAACATAACAGAAAAAAAAACATATGCTCATAAATGAGAGGGCCTTGACTTCTAACCGGAGCTGAGAAGTGGATATGAATACACTCATTCTTTGTTAGTATCTTATTCGTTTAAATAAATATCATATTTGAATT